TACTGTTTAAATCCGAATTAACGTATTTTTTAATTCGACCCATTTAGAATTTATTAGATTTACATTAAAATTCACGTTTAAACTCTTTTAACATACAGTTTATCCTTCGACCATTTGTCAACTAATCGAACGATAGTATTATGAAAGTGTACTCACTGTAGTCCGAGGTGTCGTCGTTGGAACCGCTCACCGTACCGTCCGGCAGAATCTGCAGATGCCGATTCTTGATATACATTTGTATCTTCCCTCTGGAGAGTCCGGTCATGTGAGAGAGATTGGCCGATCTCTCGGCCCGAATGGCCGCGTCACCGATCGGATCAATCGATCTCGCGTTCACTGCACCGATAATTCCGATCCCCAAAACACTCAAGCCATTCGCTATCGGTCGCGCATTGACTCGAAGCACACTGGACGAACCACCGAGCAGTCCGCATCGTCCGAACACGATGGAGAAGAGGAGGAAAACCAGAAAAGGGTAAACGCAACACGCGCGCCCGATCCTCTTCCTACTCGCGGAATCCCGACCGATTTCGTTGCACTCATTTTTCGAACGTTCATCGCTCCGTCGTCCCGAAGTGACTGTTCGCCCGTTTTCGTCCGTCCACGTGTCGTCGCTACCGAATTCCTCGCTGAAAAACCCCTCGTCGACGCCTTTAAAACTGTCCTCGTAGGTTTCTTCTTCCGCGCGAGCACGCAAGCGGTGACTAGAGAGAAGAGAGTTTCCTCTCGCAGTTCGCGTCCTTCCCGGACGATCGGTGAGATCCGCGCCGAGAGTCTCACTTTCGCGGGACGTCGGCCGGACGGGTCTTGTCCAAGATCGATCCCGGAGACTTCGACGCTTCGCGATCGAACTCCCGTTCGTGTCCGCTATCGCGAGCCGATATCCTTCCGTCCCGTCGCGTAACCGCGACTCCGCTCGTGCGATCTCGTCGTCGTCGCCCGCGTTCTCCCGCGGGTTCTTCCACGTGACCGAGAAACCCTCGTCCTTGGTGACATCCTCGATCGCGCGCGGAGATTCCCTCGACGCGCGACATGCTCCGAAGAGTCCGGCTCCGGTTGCTCCGTCCTCGTCTTCGTCCCCTCCTCTTCCTCGTCGCCGATGTGACGGCTGCGGGCTTAGCACGCGACTCGTTGCCTGGAAGTCACGTCCGGCTAGGATTGTTTCCTCTTTGTCGCCGATTCTC